TAGAGTTGTGCAAACATCTCTACTGTCCATTGTTTGAAGCAGTTTTGCCATTCCCCCTCACAAGGGAAGTCAGTAGTAGTCATTCCCATTTCTCTCGTCTCAGCTCCTGGGAACCACTAATTTTTGTTTTTTCTCAATGGATCTGTTCTGGGCATTTCATAGAAGTAGGACCATGGGCTTTGTGGCTTTTGTGTCTGGTGCAGACCTGATTTTGTTGTTTGTTTGTAGATAGGGTCTCACTATGTAACCCTGGCTGGAACTTACTGCATTGACCAGGCTAGCCTTCCCAGAAATCTGGCTACATCTGCCTCTGCAGGGATTAAAGATGTGCCCAACCATACCTGGCAGCAGCCCTGTTTTTAATGGCACTGCTCAAATGAGAGGCTCTGAAACCTGTGGAGACTGGAATGCTGTACCTTCACCCCTAAAGCCTGAGACCTTGCCTTCTGTGGTCCTCAAGTGTGGTGTCAGTTCAGCGAGGGGCATGAGTCCTGCTTCTTTGTACAAGTGGAATTGTGAGACGTAGTCTAATGACTTGATTTTCTATTTTTATTTTTGCCCTGCAGTGAGAGGAACGGAGGAGGGTTGACTATCTGACCTACCCAGCAACCTTTTTGTTCAAAAATCTGTAATGACATGTATTTATGCTCCTCTTTTTATTTCATAGTTTTTAAAAGAGTCAGGCTTCCACCTTCTTGGGATTGCCAGAATTTGGCCTTAGAGGTCAGACGTATCACATTTCTTTAATAGTTAATGTTTTTAGTTTTTGTTTCCTGTGGTGCTGGGGGTTGAACCCAGGGCTTTCTACCCACAGCATTCTACCACTGATCTACAACCATAGCCCTTTTACGTGACAGTCTATGGCCAGGCATGGTGAATACATGCCTGTAATCACAGCACTTAGAACGTGGAGGCAGGAAGATCAGGAGTTTAAGGTTATTCTCAGCTACACAGAAAGTTCGAGGCCAGCCTGGGCTATTTGAAAAACTCTTTTTCCACCCCCACCAAAAAAAAAAAAAAAAAGAGGAAGGATAGTGGAACATAGGTCCTATGAAGGGGGAAGGGAAAACCAAGAGGAGACTTAGGTGGGAGATGGGATAGAAGGGTAGAATAGAGGGAAAGGGAGGGATAAATAACACTAAGGATGTTTGAAAAGTTGTAAGCAAACCTATTATTTAATAAGCTTTCTTAAAAATATGTATAAAACAGGCTGCAGAGATGTCTCAAAGGTTAAGAGTACTTGCTGCTCTTGCAGAGGACCTGGGTTTGGTGCCCAGCACCCACAATGGAGGCACACAACCTTCTGTACCTCCAGTTCCAGGGGATTTGATGCCCTTTTCTGACCCACAGGTCCAGTCACACACATGGTGCAAATACATACATATAAGAAAAACACTTATGCACATAAAAATATACATATATATAATATATACACACATATGTATATGTATTGGGGTTACGCCACATGGGTGGATAATGTTTCATCCAGAAGCCATAGACTATTAATCAAAAAGTCCAGTCTCAGGTAAAAGA